GGACATTTCCACTTAGATGTTTAATAAACATGGTAAGTTTAACATACCCCAAACCAACTCTTCATTTCCTCCTGCAACCCTGAGCCTCTTGGAATCTTCTAGTCTCAGTTAATTAAATTCATCTTCCAACTGCCCGAGCCAAAAACTCTAGCACCATATTGGTTCCTCTCTTTTTCTTTCACCCCACTTCTATGTTATTAGAAAACTGTATTAGCTCTACCTTCAAAAGATGTCCAAAATTTCACCACTTTTTTTTTAAGATTTTATTTATCCATTCATGAGAGAGACAGAGAGAGAGAGAGAGAGAGAGAGAGAGAGAGAGAGAGGCAGAGACACAAGCAGGCTCCATGCAGGGAGCCTGACGTGGGACTCGATCCCAGGACTCCAGGATCACGCCCTGGGCTGAAGGCGGCGCTAAACTGCTGAACCCAGGCTGCCCTTCTCACCACTCTCTAAGCCAAACTACTGGGTCTCCTTGTTTTCATGTTTGACCTTACAGTCTCCATAATAGCGAAAGAGATTCTTTTAAAACTGAAGTCGGGGCACCTAAGTGGCTCAGTCGGTTGAGCATCTGCCTTCCACTCAGGTCATGATCCCGGGGTCCTGGGATCGAGCCTCATGTCAGGCTCCCTGCTCAGCTTCTCCCTCTCCCCCTTGCTCATGCACTTACTTCTCTCTCTAATAAATACATAAAATCTTGAAAAAAAAAAACTGAAGTCAGGTCATGTCACCTCTTACTCTCATTCAAAATAAAATGCCAAGTTCTCATCCTGCCAAATTGTCCTACATGATCTGACCTCAGGCTGCTCTTCAACATCATATCTCACCATCGTCCCCTTGTTCACTCAGTTCCACATGGCCTCCATGCTGGTCCTCAGCCATCCCAAACACAATCTCTTCTCAAGACCTTTGCACTTGCTCTCCCCTCTGCCTGGAGTATCTTCCTCCAGATGTCCACTTTTAGGTATCTACTCAATGTTGTCTGATCCTGGAAGTCTTCCCTCCCCACTCTATAAATAAGCACATGTGTGAGGGTACGCACACACGCCAACATCAGCCTCTCGCTATCCCCTATCCTGATTTATTTTTCTTACCACCATCCCTGCTGCATTTATTTATTACCACTTGCCTCTCAAAGTAGGGTCACTGAACCACCAGTGCTTACTAGAAATACAGAACACCAGGCCCTACCCCAGACCTACTGAATCAAAACCTGCCAGGTAACAGGAACTTCAGGTGATCTGCATGCACAGTAAAGTGTGGAAAGCACTGGGCTAGTTCCTAATTGCCATGGGAATGAGAGTTTCTTTCGTTCATTTTGATAACCTCAGAAAGCTGAGGCATTGAAGTGCACCGAGTGGAGGAATGAACAAGTGAACTACTGCACCTGTTTCAAATGGAACTCCAAGTTGACGATGTGGTACAAGCTTGGGGAGGGGCAAGAAAAACATCCCAGGTCAAAATTAACTCCCCTTATAGAGTGTGCTAGATTGGAGATCCCCGGGAACAGCAAACCTTTCTGCCAAAATGCAAAATACATTCCCCGAGTAAAGCAGCCATTCACAACTTAGCGTGGATTACTTATGTGAGATAATTAACGTAAACGGAATCAGCCAAACTGAGGGAACAGGAGTAAAAGAAGGCTGAAAATTTAATAAGTGCCTACACTGTGCTGGGCATTATTACAGGCAAGAGGGGAACACAAGTAAACCAGGGAACTTATAAGTAGGTGGGGGAAGCAGAGGACCCTCTCAGAGAAGGGCAAAGAGGATGTGATGCCCTGTGAGGGGGGGCTTGGGAAAGCCCCAGGGCACCGAGAAAGTCTGGAGTACTCCTCACTATGGCATCCTGTGCTCTGGCCACAAAGAACCCTTTACTTTCCTTCTGCCTGAAATGCCACAATCTTGCTAATACCTACTCATCCTTTAAGGGGCCTCCACTCTCCCAGAATTAACTGTTCCTTCATTCTATGAGCTCTGACAACACAGTATCAGAATTCCAGGGTGCACATCACTGTCTTCAAACGGGGCTTCTACATACTGCCTTCTCCTTATTCACCTCTGTATCCCCTGGCCCTGCACAGCACCTGAACACAGTCCTGTTCCATCCATTTCTGCCATCCTATAAGGACAGCTAGCACTCTCTGAGCACTGACCATGTACACCAAGCACTGTTTTAAACCTTCAGATGTATTAACTCATTCGATCCTCGTGACAACTCAATGAGATTGGAGCTATTATCCCCATTTTACAGATCAGAGAACTGAGGCCCAGAGAGGCAAGATCACAGGAAGGAAGGAGCATGGTACCTGCACCCGACCAGCACACAGGAAATGTCTACTGCCATGAACTGCAGGGCAGAGCAGTAGTGAAGAAGGTTGGGAAGTCAAACTTGAACTTTATCATCCTGCCTGGGGCCCCTGAGGGCAGAAGAGGATAGAGGATGTCTGAGCTCGCTGCTCTAGAGAAACTCCTTCCCCACACCTGTCTCCCACATCCAAAACCAAAGTTACTGCCTGGGAGCAAGAGAGATGGAGCGGAGATGGAGGTCAGGAGAGGAAGCCCAAGGGAAGACACAGAGGGCCTTCCTCTACAGCCCCAAGAGAAGGAGCGCCAATTCCTCAGGAGTAGTAAAGCAGAAGTACTGAGTGGAACGGATGGAGGGAGGCTGGAACACACCGTAGGGGCTCTGGAACACAACTGCTACAGATTTTCCTGAAACAGACTATCTTTACCCATTTTTCAACCCAGGTAAATGTTTGCCTTAGCTTCGCTTAGGAAACAAGGACCAGCAGTGGCCCGACTGTAGCAAACTAGCACTTTTAGTAGGATCTTAATATCATAGGTCTGGCTTCTTGGCATCAGCACCAAACTGCAGTTACCCCTCCAAAAAGTCCAAAACCAGGTTGTCGGAAGTTCAAGTTCCCAGAAAAAAATGTCATCTCTTTTCCCACCTCCCTCCAGACACCACTTCTTTACACAAACTCCCTGGGCTGCCCTGCATGAGTCCCAGGATTCACACACACACACACACACACACACACACGCAGCTAACCTGCCTCAATCGGAAATCAGAGAACAAATGAAAGCAGGTAGGAGGCAGGACAGGGGACCCAGGTGTTAAGCCTCCCATTGAGGAGAGAGAGACAAGTCATGACACTAAATCAGCAGTAAACACACAGGAAGCCAGGGAGCCCGGAGGTAGACTCTGGATCCACAAGTGAACTAGACCACAGGAACTCGGTCCTCAAGGGTGACAGGAGAAAGGGCACCCCAAAGGGCACAGAGGAAGCAACAAGTCACTCCGATGAGAGGGGAAGACAGAAGACTCAGGGAACAATGTCAATTTTAATGATTTTTTACCATCATTTTAATCAAAGCTACTTTCTTAATTATCCCCATGATCACCACACTTAGAGAAAAAAGGACATCAGGGCTAAAACCAAAAGAGATCAAAAGTCAGGCTCTGGCAGTCTGAAAGAAGAGCCAAGTGAAGTCACAGGTTCAGAAAGGTCAGTGGTCCGAAGGAAGAACGGAAATTCAAAACCGATCAGAGGAAATCATGCGACATCACGCTGAACAGGAACAAGACATAAAATCCAAATTTCACATGTTACAGATGGCTCAACAGTTTCTGGTTTACACACTCAAATGAACAGCAGCCAAAAATTAACATCTCATAAACAGTTTACAAAACTACCAAAGATCGATTTATTTTAAATAAAAACTCAAAGTGTGTTTCTGATCCAAGGAATCAGAAACCAAGCAGGTGCTTACATGTGTCTGACTCTGGACTTACCTTTTAAGCATTATGCCAAATACACATCACCGAAAACTGCTAGAGGCATACAAACTAGAGGCTAAAATTCTTTAAAGGCTTTTCTTGGGTCTCAGGCACACGTCCAAAGAGGACCAAACTTTCTCACCACTATAATCATAACAGAAAATTTCTGGATGGTAACTTGTTACACATAAGACACCTCATGTCAGGGACCCTTTAAGTGAAGCCAAAAAAGGAAAAGTGGGCTTTCAATTAACCTGTTGAAGACAGGCAATCATTTTAACCTGAAACCCTCTCATCTAGATCCTTCATAATCAGGAATTTTAATCTAATTTGGGGGAAGGGGTACACTGGGGGAAAAAAAAGCAGTTTTCATTAGTCCTTGCTAGAAACCACATAACTACAGGACCACATGTGCTAACGTGGGAGCTATATTCCTTGATAAATGAAATCAAGAGCCCAGAATTTCATCACAAACAACAGCCTGACCTTTACAAGTGCCAGAGTAATCATTCTCCTTTCAAAGACAATTCCTCACTGCACAGTAAGTTTTTAACAGAACAATCCACCGCCCCACCAAAAAAAAAAAAAAAATAGTTACAAGAGATTTCTCAGAATCCTCCAAGGAATTCCAGAAATCCATTTTCTGGGGGTTCTTGGGAGTCTAAAAGACAAGCGTGGTTATTCTTCACTACCTTCCTGCAAACAGTGGGTTAGATGCTTGCTCGGTGCCTGGGTCCTCCTGGGTCCCCCTGCAAGATGCAAGCAAGCGATGATTTCGGGTACCTCCATCCCAAAAGAAAACGGGTCTTGCGTTCAACCTGCAGGGGAAAGCGCTACCTGGGGGGTCGGCCCCCCGGGAATGGCCTAAAACTCTCTGGCCATTGGCGTAGCTCCAACAAAGTGGGCACCCCACGGGGAGCCCGAAATGCAGCGGGCGTCCCCCACCCCGGAGCCTGCCCCGGGAAGGCACATCCCTTCTCCGGGCGTCTCTAACACACCGGGTCTTTATCTAAACCGAGCTCGCCCGCCGGGACCCCCGCGGAGAACCCGCAACTTGTGCGGAGGGGAGATGCGGCCGCCCCCCCCCCCGCCGCGCGCTGCGCTCCCGGGAGACCCACTCCCCGCCCGCCCCGCGCCGCGGCCGCCGACCCCCGACACCCGTGCGCCCGCCGCCGCCCCGGCCGGTGCCCCGCGCGCCCCGGCCGCCAAGTGCTTACCCGGGTCGGCCAGGCAGCGCCCGGCGAGCGCCGCCAGCAGCAGGAGCCCCAGCAGCGGCCGCCCCGAGCCCCTCACGCCCGCGCCGCCCGCCGCTCCCCCGCCCGCCCTGGGGCCCCGGGGCCGCGCGTCCTGCCGAGCCATGGGGACGCTTCACACATCCAGGCCGCCGCCCCGCTCCGCAGCGCGCCCGGGAGCCCGGCCTCCGGCGCCCCGGTCCGCACCGGGCATCTCCGGCCGAGGCCCCGGGACCGGCTCGCTCGTCCTGCCGCGCCCGGGCGGGCTCCGCGGAGCCGCCGCTTCACCCGCGCAGGGCCCGGGGCCGCATGGAGCCGCGGCGGGAGCCGGCCGAGCTGCCCACGCTGCCTGCGAGGGCGGGAAGGGCGCCGCCCGGGTGCCCCCCCCCCCGCCGGGCCGCCCCCGCGGACTCGGGGGCCGGGCGGCGAGCAGCGGGCGCGGGGCGCGGGGCGCGCTCGGGGACCCCCTCCCGCCGGCGGCTCTGCGCGCGGCTCTCGGCGCTCGCTCGGGCTCGGGCTCGGGCTCGGGCTCCGGCTCCGGCTCCGGCTCCGGCTCGGGCTCCCGGGCCGAGCGTTACTGCAGCTCCGAGCGGCGCCTCATTGACAAAGAAAGCACGTAGCCGGCGGAGCGGGCGAGGGAGCCGAGGCGGGCGAGGCGGGCGAGGCGGGCGAGGCCGGCGCGCGCGCGCACCCCCGCGCGGAGCCACCGCGCGCCCCCCGCGCCCGCGCGCCCCGCCGCCCCCGCCCGGAGGGGGACCCCTCGCGGCCGCTCCCGCGCGCCGAGGTGCAGCCTGCGGCCGGGAGGCGGGGGACTGGGGGACTGGGGGGGCGGGGGGCGCTTGCCTCGCGTGCGCCCCGTTTCCCCGCCGGGCTCCCATCTACAGGAGGGGAGGGGAGGTCCTTGCCCTCGCCCCCGGGCCCCAGAGGGGCGTAGACGGTGAGGGTCCACGTGCTCCACCGGCCTGCATCTCGGAAAGCCGCCTGCGGGTGGGCGGCCGTGCTTTGTGCGGTGCGCTCGGCGCTCCGGCTCCGAGGGGCCGGCGGGCACCTGCATGCCCGGCTCAGCCCCGGGGGACGAAGGCGGCTGTGGCCTAATGGCAACAACGCGCCGGGCTTAAAGCACATTATGAGTATGTGCTGCAGCCACACTACGCGCAACGCGGTGCACTGCATGCACACTGGGGAGCGCACAGGGACATGTTCTCCTAAAAGTCCCTTCCCGCGAGGACAATTAGGCAGTCGCTCTGCAGGAGAACAAAAGGCCCCCTTGGCCTGCTTGCTCTCCCCTTGCCAAGCTAGATGACCTTAGACCTCGTTCATCGGAGCTTCAGACTTCCTCCGCCAACAATTTTTTTTTTTTGAGGGCCCCCTACCTGTGGGCCACCGTGCTAGGCACTGAGGACGGAAGTGGAGAGCGAAAACACACGACCCTGACCTCATGGAGCTCAAACTCCACTCATTCAGCACCACTTACTGACCCCTATTTTGTGTCAGGCACTGTTCTGGGCACCGAGGACGACAGCCACACACCAAATCCCTGCCCTCCGAGAACTGACATTCTAGGGGAAGTACACCGGCAATAAGTGATAGATCCTATGTAGGCCCGTGATAAATGCTATGGAGAAAACTCAGCATAAAAGAATGAAAAGCAGGGTGAGCGTTGCAACGTTAAATCGGGTGAAGGAAAGCCTCACTGAGGAGGTGACATTTGAGCAAAGAGGTGAATGAGGTGAGGAAATAAGTCTCCCCGGGAGAGCATTGCAGGTAAAAGGACAGCAAGAGCAAAAACCCAGAAGCAGAATGTGCCTGGTGTGCCCAAGGCACAGCAAGCCAGCTGGTGGGTGTGGAAAAGTGTTATATCTCACTTATTGTGCACCAGGAGGATAGAAATAACACCATATTTCATCTAAGATACACTCTCCCCCCCCCCCCCCCCCCCCGCACATGAGAACTTCTCAGAGAAGTTCTCTGCATGTTTTATAATGCATCTAAGGTTTGTTATAATACAGAATGCCCTCTCGGGGTCATTATGATTCAAGTTGGCTGCTCAGTTAAATTAGCTCTGCTGTTTTTAAGAAGCTTATAGTCTGGTTGAGGCACAGAAACAACTCAAAGAGCCAGTTGGAGCCACTGATGAAGAAGCCAGTCCATGGCCATGATTCAGGCAACATCACAAGGCAGGAGGAAGAGTCCTGGCAGCAAGTGGCAGCAAGTGGCGATCCCAGAGACAGGGAAATGGGGCATTGCTGGCCTGAGGTAGATAGAAAAGATCCAGAAGGGGAGAGGCTGTGGGCAAGAGACAAGATCAGGCCACAGCTGGTTCTCCATGCGCATTTAGAGAGAGAAAAAAAGAGAAATTTGGGAGGCAGATTCCATGGGGTTGAGAGATAGCAAATGTGTATCTCGAAAGCATGTCCTCTATGTGTTCATTGGGATTTTTTTTTCCTCCTTCATTATTATTTGCCAGACTTAGACAAGACACAAATTTCCTTTGGGGGATGTTGTTTGTTAGACGTGTTTCTTTGAATTTCTCTGCCAGAGGAGGCTGGTGTCCAGAGCAGACTCGATCCTGTCCTGGGCAGGCCCGCGGTCTAGCGAGCCAGGCTGCCGCTTCAACTCCAGCAGGTGCAGGGAGTAGCGGGCGGGGCCACATACAGCATCCCCAGCACCATGCTAATGTGGGTGAGGAGTGGCTGTTCCTGCCTGGAGGAGGGAAGGTGAAAGAAGGCCACATTTCCAGCTGGAGTGTGCCAGGCCCAGCAAATGGCAAGGTGGAGAGGCGGCTACAGGTCTGTGGCGTTTTCAGAGCAAGAGCGACGCACCCGGTGAGGGTGGCAGGTGGGGGACGTGAGGGACCCCTCTTTCAGGCAGGAGATCCACACGGGCACACATGTGAGATGCTTCGTGCCGTATCCTCACCCAGGAGGCCCCGCTGCGGGGAAGTCTTCTGCTGCAGCAGGAAGCTTGATGAGATCCCAGGCCTTGATTGATGAGGAGTCAGTGCACAGACTCTGAAAATTGACTACTTAGGTATTTCAGGCCCGGCTCTGCCATTTACTGGCACATATGCTTTCTGTGACTCGCCCATAACCCTGGAAATGATAAGACTACCTCCCTCGTCGGGTTCTCGAAAGGATGGAGCTGCTCTGCGACAAGCATTTAGAAGTGTCCTGGACACACAGTAAGTGCTCAGTCTTATATATTCTATAACAACGGCATCCCCTCTAACCCATGAACCCTTGGTTGACTTTGGCCTGCTGAAACTAAGGCCCTGGGACCTTGCCTCTGTGTGATGATTGCTGCATGGCTTGAATAGTCTGTGTCTTTTTGCAAAGCATTTTGTGAGGCCAGGGGTAGAGATCGGTCTCTAGACAGCGGTTTCTGGTCCTCGATGGAAACTTCTGACATCGCCTTCAAGGGAGATACCTAGGCCTCTGTTTCGTTATTTTTGCACTAAGCGGATTTCCCTGCTCTAGCCCTAATCTCTATCACTGACACTCCTTGCTTAAACAAAGCCCATGTCTACACTGAAGTCCTACTTTTTAAATATATTTGTAATGATTTTTATTTGTTTATCTGACAGAGAGAGAGAGAGAGAGAGAGAGAGAGAGAGAAAGCAAGGAGGCTCAGCGCAGGCAGGGGGAGAGGGAGAAGCAGGCCCCATTGAGCAGGGAGCCCGATGCAGGGTTGGACCCCAGGACCCCGGGATCATAACCTGTGCTGATGCACCCGCTTAACTGACTGAGCCACCCAGGTGCCCCCGATGTCCTACTTTTGCGTGCCCTGGACTGCACCAGGTCCGGTGGTTCCTACAGCACGCAGGGCCCTTGCCTTGCATCAATGTACTTAAAGTCGAGTGAGGGAGACACACAATTATGCCACCCCTGGCAAGTGCTACCCCAGATGTGGTGAAGGGTGCTGAGGTGACACGCAGAGGGGGGCGCTGGGAGCATCGCTGGAGAGGCAAGCAGGCCATGTTCAGGAATTAAAACGCGTCTTTATAAATCAGTGTGGCCTAAATATATTTCAGACAGATTACTGGGGGGGAAAAAAAGGCAGAAGTTTCAAATGAAATTCTAAACATGGTGTTTGGTTTTCCTTGCTTTGGGTGCCCTTGAGAAAAGATAACAGTGTTGTATGAGATGGAACATTGAGTGGCTCCCTCCTGCATCTCAGAGTCCGGGCTTCTAGAAAAGTGCTTGACTCCCTACATGGGTCCCTGCAGACAGGAACTGCTGCCCTGGAGGATGAGAAAATGTAGTTGAATTAACTGTGCCCGAGGGCCGTAGGGGGCTATGGGAGAGTTCTAACGCAGAATGTGTGACTCGCTGTGTGTTTCGGGAACTTCACTCTCTACCTCCCAGAATGAACTAGAAGAGGGGTGAGGAGCCCAATCAAAAGGCTGTTGCAGAATTGTAGGTCATCTTGTTTCCCTTTCCCTCATGTCCCAATCTACTCTTCTGAAAGAAGCTTCCAAATTCTGCACCAGGACCCAGCACGACAGGCCCAGCAGTCTGGTGCCAGCAGCCACTCAGGTCAGCTCTGGGTGCCCAGGTGGGTGAGGCTGGTCTCAGAACTCACCTTGGCCCCACGGCAGTCTCACAACTCAGCACTTGTTGCTTTGCACTGGTCTCCTGTTGATAACATTTCAACTTCCCAGGCTCTGGCTAATTATTCCCCAAATCCTCCAGTGGGAGAATGCAGTTTTTAACCATGAAGGGCTAATTTGTATTGTGAATATTTCTGGTGCTCCTGGGGCTCATCTAATTGCAAAGCAGGGGATATGGTCCAGGCTTTGGCACTATGGGACTAGCTCATTTTTTTTTTTTTTTTTTTTTACTGCATCTCTCTACCTTCAAGCTCCACTTAGCTCTCTGAAGCGCTTTTCTCAGGCCCTCCGTAGGGTGGGAGGCAGGGCTGACCATTGAAAAATCTCAGCAATTACACAACCTGGGTTCCAGTCCTAATCTATCACCTAATAACTGGTGACCATAGGAAAAAAGTGAAACTCAGTATCAACTCTTTCAGAGAACTGGAGATGCCTACCCAAGATACCAAGGTCATCTACCCAAGAGAAATCCAAACACATGTCCACACAAATATTTGAATAGAAATATTTGAAGCAGTATTATTCACAAGAGCCCAAAATGATAAAACCCAAATTTCCATCCACTAGTGAATGGATAAATGGAATGTGCTACAACAGCATATTACTCATCAATAAAAAGGAACAGAGTTCTGAAACATGCCATGATACGAATGAATCTTGAGAATATTCTGCTGAGTGAAAGAAACCAGTAACAAAAGGCCAAATATCATGATTACATTATATGAAACATCCAGAAAAGGCAAACACAAGCTGACAGAAAGTGGAATAGAGGTTGTCGGGGCTGGGGACTGTAAAGGCATAAGGTTTCTTTTTATGGTGGTAAAAATGTTCTAAATTAGATCATGGTTATGGATATATAACTCTAAGTATACTAAACTTCATTTTTTAAAGATTTATTTATTTATTTGAGAGAGAGAAAGAGAACGCACGAGTAGGAGGGGCAGAAGGAGGAGAGAGAATCTCAAGCAGACTCCCCACTGAACACAAAGGTTCACACAGGGCTGATCTCAAGACCCTGAGATCATGATCTGAGCTGAAATCAAGGGTCAGAAGCTTAACTGACTGAGCCTGCCAGGTGCCCCACATACTAAACTTCATCTAAGTGAATACTTAAAACTAGTGAGTTTTATGTTCTGTATATCATCTCTCAATAAAGGTGTTAAAAAAAAACGAATCTGGCACAAAGTGGTCAATAAATCTTTGAGTTTATTGTAAGATAAAGTGTTTTTTCTTGAATGTGTAAAGGATATTTATATTTAAACTTCCACTTTCAAGGCAATCACTTTTTGTAAAAAAAAAAAAACACAAAAGACTCAACAAAATTTGCATTGTTCATTGTAGGACTATTGGTGATAGAAG